TGTATCAACTTGCTAGAGGTAATTAGAATGAGATTATAGTGTAAAAGAGATTGGATTTAATATTGAGGAATATCTGCTTCTAAAACAGCATTAGAGAAAAAAGACGCAGATGCGGCTATGGAACAACATCGTCTGTTGGTTACTCAACATATCAATGTATCGACTCAATGGGCGACAGCACTGCGTCAAATTATTATATCGATTTCATCTGAATCACAATCGGATGATAAAAACGCACCGGCTGTACTACCCGACACCGATGTTGTGCAATTTGTAGATGTGAGTTCGAAACCAATCGTATTGGATAGCATTCCGCCTATTCCGCAAGATCCACTATTGAACCCAGGCCCAGCAACGTTACCGATATCCAATCAGCAGCAATCTAATGACAACCATTCCGATTCAAGTGCAAATGTTGTGCAAGAGAATAGTGAAAATGAACCGAAATCCAGATTCGGACGATTTGGAAGAATTTTACATATTTAATATGACAAACTAAGGCAATCCTATGGGAGATTTATACTGAATGATGTCAGTTGCTGTGAGTCTAACGGAAATTGATTCCAATCAGAATCGAATGAAATAAAAATAATCAATTTTTAAATTGTTGTTGTTAAAATTTCGGATTTTTTCCTAATTATTACTATTAGTTGACTTGTAAAATGATTTTGTCTTGCTTTACTGAACTTTATGACAACTTTATTATGGTCGTTTTTCATCTTTTTACATACAATCTATGGAATAATGGCGTATGGTTGCAAATGTGTCGCCAATCAGTCAACATCATTCAGTTCGATATTTACTTCAATGACAGAGTGAGCTGAATAAGAGGCAATACTTTGATGGAAGATAAATCGGCCAGTACCGCTTCAATATTTTCAATTGTATTGACTTGCATCAAACTTTCTTTGCGAAAACTCAGAATGATAATGGCAAAAAAGGGTATTATTTCCAAGCTATCGTAGCCAAGAATCTGAAAAACAAACTCTATAATTACAACATCACAATTAGAGAGATACCGCTAGATTGCCTACCAAATCATACAAAATGAGAAGCTCATTGGGTGAAAGATGGCCACTGAACGCTCTTATAAGCCATTTGAATACGATTCGGATCCTAAAAAAGCAATAAAATGAAAATGAATCATCAACGGTTATTGTCACTCAGAACAAATTCCAATATGATGAATAATAGCATACGGTTGTATTTGAAGTTCTCGAAAATGTGACCATAATTGCGGCTCATGAGTTTGAAGTAACTTTTCAAATAGGAGACACAAACTGACAATACCCTGTGGATGTGTGTTGATGGTGGTTAAACGATGGCAATAACGAATATAAAAGGCGCGAAACGTAAAGTACAATTGTTCGGGTGAGTCGAATATGTAACAGAATGGGGCCGCTATAGAGAATCAAGTGGGATGAGAAGAGCAACAGTTTCATTGCCAGTCTAATGCAAAATTAAAAGAACAAAAA